TGTGTCTTAGTATGGGTGTCAATCTTTAATCCATTTAATTCCTACACCCACACCAATCTGAGTATGATTAGAATCAAATCATCTAGACAATTAGAGAAGAATTCAAATTAACCGACGAGTTCTTAAAGCAATGAAAAAACCTTTTTTGATAAACTCTGCTCGCTCGGACATCCATTTAATTGATACCATAACTTTATTTGGAGGTTGTGAGTTACAGTAATGTATATTATATGTTAGCAACAGTTATTCCATGTCATGCACATAAATCACACAATTCAAAGTTACTTTGACAAAAATCATCATATTCACCAGCAAGTAGTACTTTTCTATTGGTTAATAAGGAAGCTGTGTGTGATATTCGTGCCTATATCATACTGCCAGTATCAAGCCATTCTAAAAGGGTATGAGCGGTTCAGAGAAAGTTTTACGCTTTTCATAAGGGGTATTTTTAACTGACGTGAGTAGAACCAAACAGATTAAGAAAGCTTTATTTCATCAATTAACATCTAAGTGTAACGGTATATTCTCTTTTTTTTTGACTTCGTTTCGAATTATTGAAGAAAACATTATAACACTTGACAGTAAGAAGTAATGTCTAGATGTTAAAGATAAGAGATACCTGATTTGACAGCGCTAGACGATTAAAATCTAGTTAGTTCTTAGCTGAACTACCAATCAATATGAAAGACTTCTTATTCAGACATAGTAAAGACACCAAATCATTCTGATTGAAAAACATATGTTTACGATCCAAAGAGAAAAGAGTGGACTTGAAATAGGAAAATACATCAAATTATTTCAAAGTAGCCTACTGGAACTATAGGTTCAAAGTAACTTCAAATCATAAATGAACAAGCCTTTTATGTGAGTTTAACAATAGCTTCAAATGAATAAAGCATAGATATGGATTGACATCAGTTCTTATAAGTCACTTCTTCGTTTTTAGTTGTATACCACACGTAAGAGTTTATCAAATACAGTGTGCACTCCAAATGTTTTCTGTCAGTTCTGTAAACCGATTTTCATGGAGTGACTTTCATGTGGTTTGTCCACTTATTGTCACCGCAGGGTGAATATAAGTGTGGGTGTGAGTTTGCGGTGTGGGTGTGGGTGGGTGTGGCTGTGAATGTGGGTGTGGATGTGGGTGTGCGTGTGCGGGTATAGGTGTGACTGTGGGTGTGTGTATGGGGTGTGGCTGTGGGTGTGGGTGTGGGTGAGGGTGTGGGTGAGAGTGTGGGTGTGAATGTGGATGGGTGGGGTGTAGGTGTGTTTGTTTGGCGGTCGCTGTTTCTGGATGTTGATCTAAAAAGTGAATAAAGAGACCATCCACCCCAACACCCACACCCACACCCACACTCACACCCATACCCACACCCACACCCACACCCACACCCACACCCCACACTCCACACTCCACACCCACACCCACACCCACCCACACCCACACCCCACACTCCACACCCACACCCTCCTCCTGAACCACTGAAATCATTAATGTCAGGAACAACGCCTGAATCGAAGCATTTCTTGGATAACATTAGAAAATACAATTCCTGCTTTCAAATGACATCTTTTGACACGTCAGAGAAAGTGGCTGACCCAGGCTTCATGCCTACTTTCAGAGTTCAGGGTCAAGTATATCATCGCGTAGGATCTCTGCTGCCGCCTTCGAATGAAGAACATAAATTTCTTCAAATTTACTTCATGGGCGACGATCGAAAAGAAGTACAACAACGTTGCAAAAACATGCCTGGCGTACGTCAAGACATTGTCGAGAAACTGCAGCAAATGGTTTATGAGCACCACATTTATGTTGATCTTTTCAACACTGCCCTTCAAAGAATGCCTACAGATCAATAGAAGGTGCTTATTCGAGCAGACATGAAACCTGTTGGAGAGCATGCACGTCGTTTCAATGAGTCAGTGACAAATGAAGTGGCGGTTGTCATCGCTGGCAACGACTTTGAGAAACGAGATATTGTCTTGGAGAAGAAAAATGGTCAGTCACAGAGAGTATCGGAGACACACAGATCGTATGATGCCTTGCAATATCCTCTCATCTTTTGGAAAGGTGAGGATGGCTACCATTTTCTTATCGAACAGACTGATCCAACAACTGAAATGGCTGTCACTGGCAAAAAGGTGTCGGCTATGAGTTTTTATGCTTATAAAATTATGGTATGAAATGGTGCTGTCAATCATATCTTACAGTGCCGACAACTTTTCCATCAGTATGTGGTTGACATGTACGCAAAGATCGAAAGTGAAAGATTATCTTTTCTACGTTATAATCAAAAAAAAAGCTTAGAGTGGATGAATACATTCACCTGAAAGATGCTATAGCCAATGATGGACGAGCTGACAATCTTGGTCAATTAGTGATTCTACCAGTAACTTTCACTGGAAGTCCCCGGCACATACATAAATATACACAAGACGCTATGACTTATGTAAGAAACCACGGAAGACCCGACCTCTTTATAACATTCGCCTGCAATTCTAAGTGGCAAGAGATTCAAGCAGAATTAATGGACGGTCAAGCTCCCTCTGATCGTCGTGACCTATTAGCAAAAGTGTTCAGACAAAAGCTCATTAAATTGGTCAACATTATTACCAAAAGCCATGTATTTGGGCCAACAAGATGCTGGATGTATTCTATTGAATGGCAAAAGAGAGGACTACCACATGCCCATATTTTGATATGGCTGAAGAACAAAATTAAAGCAGATCAAATAGATAGCGTAATCAGCGCAGAATTACCTGATCCCGAACGAGATCCTCAACTATTTGAAATAATTATCAAGACTATGATTCACGATCCATGTGGAAGTATCAATCCAAACTTTCCGTGTATGGAAAACAAAAAGTGTACAAAAAGATATCCAAAACAACTTTTGCATGATACAGAAACTGGTGATGATGGATATCCATCGTATAGAAGAAGAAGTTCAGAAGATGGTGGTATCAAAGCCAAAATCAAAATGAGAATTAATAACTCCATTCAAGAAATCGAAATTGACAACAAGTGGGTTGTGCCATATTGTCCACTACTCTCTCGGGTCTTTCAAGCCCACATTAATGTGGAATATTGCAACTCGGTAAAATCAATCAAATACATCTGCAAATATGTCAACAAGGGCAGTGATCAGGCAGTGTTTGGTTTGGGAAGAGATGGAGCACCAGTTGATGAAATTAGTAACTACCAGTTAGGTAGACACATCAGTAGCAATGAGGCAGTCTGGCGAATCTTGGATTTTCCAATTCACTAGCGATATTCAACCGTTGTTCATTTGGCTGTTCATTTGGGAAATGGTGAATGCATTTATTTCACCAAAGATAATGTTCATGAGAAAGCTAATGAACCACCAAGAACAACACTAACAGCATTTTTCTTGCTCTGCCAGAAAGACGACTTTGCCAAAACGCTGTTGTACTGTGATGTTCCAAAATACGACACATGGAACGCGTCTGAAAAATTGTTTAAGCGACGTGTTCAAGGAACTGTTGTGCTTGGTCATCCAGACATTAGAGAAGGAGATGTGTTGGGTCGTGTTTACACTGTGCATCCTAATAATTTCGAATGCTTTTTCCTACGACTCTTACTTCATGTGGTCAGAGGCCCTACTTCATTTGAAGCTCTTCGAACTGTAAACGGTCAGATCTGTGCAACATTTCGTGAAGCATGTCAATTACATGGATTACTGGAAGATGATCAACAATGGGATGCCACCATGTCCGAAGCAGCTGCAGCTCAATCGCCAGCAAGATTAAGAAATCTATTTGCTCTTATACTAGCTGTTTGTGGACCATCCAGTCCAAAACAATTATGGGAGTCGTACAAAGAAAGCCTGACTGAAGACATTCTGACAAATGCTCGCAGACAAAATCCTGGAATGAATTTGGATTATACACCAGATATGTTTAATCATGCACTGATTATTATTGAAAGTAAAGTTTTAGAGATGGGTGACGAAGAACTTGACAAATTAGAGCTCCCAACTCCTCAACAAAATTCGAGTGATCGATTAAACAGTGCAATGCTCAGAGAAACAAGTTTTGATGTGAAAGAGTTGGATGCTTATATAACAGCAAATGAGCCACTGTTGGTGCCGGATCAGAGAGCTGCATACAATGCGATTTCGGATCAGATCGAGAAGAAAGCTGGTGGAATAATCTTCCTTGATGCACCTGGTGGAACAGGGAAGACATTTGTCATTAATTTGTTATTGGCTAAAATCCGGCATCAGTCAAAGATTGCGATTGTGGTCGCCTCTTCCGGTATCGCTACTACGCTGCTTCACTGTGGTCGTACTGCGCACTCGACATTAAAGTTACCTCTTAAGTTTTTGGAAAATCAAACTCATGTCTGTAGTATTACCAAAGGAACTGGCAAAGCAAAGGTTCTGCAAGAATGTGAACTTATTGTATGGGACGAGTGCACAATGGCTCATATGTATGCATTAGAAGCTTTGAACCATACTTTACAGGATCTTCGTAACAATGGAAAGAATATGGGTGGAGTAGTTGTACTTATTGCTGGCGATTTTAGGCAAACATTACCAGTTATTCCAAAGGGTACCATGGCTGATGAGCTAAAAGCTTGCTTGAAATCTTCGTATCTTTGGAGACATGTTGTACCATTAAAACTCAGTACTAACATGAGAGTGCACTTACGAGGTGACGTATCTGCCGATCGTTTCGCTGAACAACTTCTCGCAATTGGAAATGGCAAAATACCTGCTGACCCAGTCAGTGGACTTATTAATATTTCAGACAACTTTTGCAATATCGTTGAATCAGTCGAAGAACTCAAGAATACAGTGTTTCCAAACATTCAAACTCAGTACAAGGATCACAAATGGTTATGTGAACGTGCTATTCTGGCTCCGAAAAACGTCAATGTAAATGCTATCAATCTACAAATACAGCAACAACTTCCTGGTGAAGCTATATCTTACAAATCAATTGATACAGTTAAAGATATCGACATGGTAGTTCAGTATCCAACTGAGTTTCTTAATTCACTCGAACCTTCTGGAATGCCACCACATAACTTGCGTCTGAAAATTGGATCATCTATTATGCTCCTAAGAAATCTGGATGCACTAAGATTATGTAATGGTACAAGGCTATGTGTCAAAACTCTAATGCCTCATGTAATCGAAGCAACGATCATGACAGGTTGTGCAAAAGGTGAAGATGTATTCATACCAAAAATACCTTTGCTCCCTTCTGATATACCATTCGAGTTTACACGACTTCAGTTTCCAGTACGGCTTGCCTTCGCAATGTCTATTAATAAGGCTCAAGGGCAATCACTTAAAGTTGCTGGTGTCAATTTAGAAACTCCTTGCTTTTCTCATGGTCAACTTTATGTGGCATGCTCGAGAGTAGGAACGGGAAAGAATTTGTATGTTTTTGCTCTAGATGGAAAAACGAAGAACATCGTGTACAATACAGCTATACAATGAAAATTTCTATTGTCCTTTTTTTTTGCTTGGAAGAAGTTCATCAATAAAAATATAAAACAGAGAAAAGTCTATAGCGGCTTTTAATATGTTAAATATTAAAATTAAAAAAAGAAAAGATTCAAGTGTAGCTTATGATATTGCAGATGAATAGCTGTTGAGGACTGTGGCAACATCGTATTATCATCCGTGAGATATATGCTATCGTATCATCTCCATACATCGGGTACCTCCGCTAGTTGTATATATGGATGTCTTATTTGTGATCTTCGGATCATTAGAATAGAGTCTATATCTGCAATTAAGCCGTCTGATGAGATCCTTAAGCAAGGTCGAAATCGCGATAACGGTGTGCTTCTTGACTCACCCTCACACCCTCACCCTTAATTAAACTGCCTGATGAGTCGTTGAAAGTACGACGAAACCGGTCGTAGTATAATCTTATTTAAAACTCACATCCTCACCCCTCAATAATATTATTTCCAACCCTGTATATGGGTTCTACGAACTTTCCAGACACGCTAATACATATGCGTATCTCTACGACGAATATCTGATGTGTAATTACTTTGTGTAACTAAGGTGATAAAACAGGTAGCTTAACGGTAGAGTAGCCGACCGGTTATCGAAAGATGTGGGTTCGACTCCTGCTCTGCTCTTGTGATCCTTTTTATTCAGTCTTTTATACTGTCTAAAGCATGTCAACTGTGGATATATTCTAACTACTGATACGAATATGATATCGTGGATAAGTGAGATGAACATAGATAATAATTCTTTTTAGAATTCTTTAATGCTTTCTCATACGATCCAAACTTATACTCTTAACTCACCCTCTAGTCACCCATCCTCTTTTCTTTTTTTGATTGGTTTTTTTTTGTTTGTTTCAATGTATGTGTGTTTGTGTGCGTTGGTTTTTTTTTTGTTTGAATATATGTATGTATTTTGATACGCAATTGTTTTCTTTCATTTTTTCATCTTTCCACTTCAAAAAATCAAAAAAAAACACACACAGGTCATATCCATGGCTTCTTCTCTTTGTCAGCGTCACAGCAAACGACAAGATGCAGCATCAGAAGCATTATGGTTCTCTTTATTGGATGAATTTGCTACTGTACAAAGACAGTTTCGAATGCAAAAAGAAAAGTTGAATTTAAATGTGGCTGCTTTAATGGAATTGATTTTACATCATTTAGTATGTTTTTTGCATTGCTTTGGTTTGTTTATATTGTGTTTGTTTTCAGATTTTATATTTTGATGAGCCCTATCATGTTATTTGTGATTTTATGTATCTTTCTGTTTTTGTTTTGATCTTATGAATTGTTTTTGTCTTTATGTATCTTTCTGTTTTCTTATTCATTATCAAAAAAACAAAAAAATTCAGGTTTCTAAGATTATGGCTCAAATGATGGAACATGTTACTCTTCCAGCATTGCTCAGGTATTGTTCTTTGTTTTTGTGGTTTGATTGCTTGCTTTTGCTTCTTTTCACTGTTTTTTTCCTTTGTGTTCATTTTTTTTCAGGAAAATCACGACGGATCATCAAGCAGATCTCTTTTCAGAGTTTCGAGAAACTTTACGAGTCATGTTGTGTACTTATACTTATGAAGAAAGCATTCTTTTTACTGGTACGTGTATGTGTGTGTGTTTCTCCCTGTCTCTGCGTGTGTGTATGTGTGTGTCGAATTTATCTTGCTTATTGTATTATTTTTTGAATTTTTTTTCTTCTTCGATTCGTGCCTTCCTTACCCCATTATTTATTTCTCTCTCTCTCTCTCTCTCTCTTTACATCCAAAAAGCTCTTTTACGATGACACGTTTCGTTCTGTAGCACAACGTCAACGTCGTTCTGCTCGTGCGTTTACTCCCAAACATGAAAGTTGTGATTCTTGTAGGCGTTCGTTAAGCGATGAGTTGTTAATGGGTGATTTAGCCAAAGCCTTGACAGGACGATTGTTGATTTTCGATTGTGGTCATGCTTTTCATGAAATGTGTCTTGGTAAAATGGTTTTTTTCTGTTTTATTTTGTGGTGTTGCTGAATTGTTTTCTCGTTTTCTTATATTGTGTTTTTTTCCTTTATTATTTTCTTTTCTTTTTCCTTCCCCCCCCCCCCCCCCCAGGTCGAACACAAGATCGTTGTTTACTCTGTGCAACTAAATTTCACAAATCCAATTCGTCCCAGAAACAAGCTTCTCAGACTCTGCATAGCCACAATAGCAATAACAGCAACAACGCCAACAACAATAACAACAACAACAACAACAACAGTCACAGCAACAACAGCAAAGGGCATGATGAAACAGCGGCTTTGTCGTTGGATAATGAAGCAAAACAACAAGCGCAAGACGAGGCGGTGGGGTTGGACTTTCAAACCAAAGCAGCGGTCAAGAGATTGGAAATGGTAAGAACAATAAAAAGAACAAGTTCAAGAACCATGATTGAATGAATGAGTTTTTTTATGGTTTCGTTTTATTGAATGTTTTTCTTGTTTTCGGCACAGCTTTCTGAGAAACAAGTCGAATTCAAATCTCGTTTCAAGATTCTTGAAAACATCGCTCATCATCAGAACAACATAGATAATCTTTTGTGTAGGTAAACAAAATTTGTTTTTTCTCTTTTTCTTTTTATATTGCTTTCTTCATTTTTTCAGCAAGCAGATTGATTTTGTTTTGGTTGCCTTTGTTTTGCATTTCTTATTCCATCTTTCCTTTTTTTTTCTCTTTCTATTAAGAACTGTTCACACACAGAGGTCGCATTGGTACACTGTATCTGTCACCTGCTTCCATCTCGGAAGCGCTCCACAAGATCAGTGCAAGAAAACCTGGATCTTTATCATCGGAAGCAGATTATATCACCAAGATGGAAGAGGTCGATATTCAGATGGAAACTTAATAAACAGGTTTTTGATTTTTGGGTTGAACAAAAACAAGGGCAAACAATACAAATGCAAACATGCACAAGTAAACAAAGGAGTGGAGAGGAGAATAGCATTGGTGCACTGTTACCGCAGGAAGACAGGTCAGTAAGAATTACGATCAGTGGCGCTCCAGTTGATGATAGCATTTTCTTTGTTATACAAAATGGGTCCACAATAAACAAACGTATCCCTACTTAAATTGTTCTTGGCACTGCGAATTTTTGGAAAGTGAACCAAACACTATTGAAAACGCCATGCGTTGCATAAGGCCACAAGCCGCCATGGCACATTGTTCATTCCATTGGCTGTATGCTAATTTTATTTTTCTCGTTGACTTCCGTGTTTTGCGAATTCAATCCAATAACTGTTAGGGCTTGGATTTGATCGGTCTCTGGTTGGTGCCTTGATTTCACTTGCATTTTTTGGTTTTTGTTAGGAGTGTACAGCTCACGCTCATATGAGCGCTCATGAACGTGAGCGTTACTTCTTTAACTTTAATATGTCCAAGATAAGAATTTTTTAATTACATTAAACTTTTATATTTCTCTATGTCATGTAAGAAATATACTGTATCTTTAACACCGTATTTACTCATTTTTTGAAACGTATTCAGGGTTACCATAAATAACTTTTCAAGGCCTCTTTAAAAGTACTATTAGTAACTTCCCAGAAGCTATCTCGGAATACGATTCGTAACGTTCTGGGGACTATCTGGAGGTACCATCACCGATTTTTCAGGGGCTATCTCGAGATACTATTAGTAACTTTTGAGGGCCTATCTCGGAGTCCCCTAAGCAACTTTTTGGAGGCTACCTAGGGATACCCTTAGTAACTATTTAGGGGCCATCTAAGGGTACCCTTAGCACAGGGTTCCCGATTGTTTTTGGTAGTGGGGAGGACGGAAAAATTTTGACAGAAAGTCGACAAAAATTTTTTTCCAAAACATTTTTCCTGAGAAATTTTTCTAAAAAAGCAGTGATCCCCAAGTGGTGGGGGGTAGCTTTGCGAATCCTAGTTTTTCAAAAAGTCTGATCATCAGGCAGGGGGTGGGGGTAGCTTCACAAAGGCCCCCTTAGAGGTGAGTAATATCCTGGAGAAAGTTCTTTACCAAAAAAAGCATATTTTCTGAATATGACCCTGTGATCAGTCGGGTCCCATGGATGACTTTTTTTTTAGAAGCAGGTTTTGATATTTTATTTGGCAGAAAGCGTTCCGATTTGTGGGGGGGGGGGGGG